CACATACTCACACACTCACAAACACACACTCACACACACACTCACAAACACACACACACACACACTCACACATTCACACACTCACATACTCACACACTCACAAACACACACTCACACACACACTCACAAACACACACACACACACACTCACACATTCACACACTCACATACACACTCACAAACACACACACACACACACACTCACATACACACTCCCACACACACACACACTATGTTTGAAATACACAATAACCACAATAGTTTTATACATGTATCATCAATAAATACTATACACTATTTTGTAAATCTGTTTACTTCAGCGAGTGTCCGGCCCGATCCCAGCAACACACAGCTCACGGGTTTCACTCTTAGAATGATAAACGATTACTCTCACACTCTTACTGATAAACGAGGCATGTACTGTAAGATGAGGGCGTCGGCCAAATGCAGAAAATGCTATTTCGCATGTTTATCCCGTCTTTCCTGTCCGTCGGATCAAACACTGAGTGGAGAACGGAGGGAAGGGTGACGCTGCACTGCGCCGCGTGTTCCTCTGCATGCAGAAACGCCACAGCGAGAGAAGCAGCCTGTGTGTGTGTGCCGACCCGTGATCCTCCTGTGGGACGGGGACGGAATACCTTGAATAAGCCATGAGCGCTGTTTCTCTGCCCGACCCAGAACGACGTTTCTTCCGGGATCTCCATCAGAGGAACGGCCACCACTCGCTCGTAGATTCTGGGAGGAAACACAGCGAACATCAGGACATCAGAACCAGCAGCGATCCTGACACCACTGGCAGATTCTCCTGTTTACTTTAAAACAAGTGAAACATATACACCCACTGTATATTCAAGATTTAAAACCTATGTGTGCAGTGTTGCTTCTCAAGTACGGTACATGTCTTTAGATATTTACACTGGAAAACATGTCACGAAGACTCAGTGCGCTTCACTATGTGCACTACAGTATTGCAGTGTAGTCAAGTAAGTTCATTTAGATGTTACCATTTTATATTCACCATTCCATGCCCACACACAAGTTAAAGTGTCCATGCTAGAGTTAAGCAGCAACAGCATGTGCACGTTATACTGAATTCACTACACAGAAGAACACGGGTCCCTGTTAAAGTGTGAAACCTGTTACTGTCACTTTTGTGAAATAATCCTGTTCGATTTTTGAGACATAGGTGTTCATTGAATCGATTTTCCATGTCTAAAGACGTTTCCATTTCCAACACCAGATACAGGCAAATCCACGGACACCTAACAGGCATTAGGACGAGCGTAAAGAGGCGCTTGAGACGCACAAGTCAGCAATATTCCTGATGATTTATTGGCGTGAAGTTTCAGGGATTGAGATTAACACCCTCGACCCGCCAAATGCGGGTAAAGATGAACTTTGGCGGGAAACGCTGTCAAATCACGAGCCAATCTGGCGTGTTTCTGTGTTTACTCACTTTGCTGGGGAAGTTCGTGTAAGACAAATCTGAGCAAATACGCAACTCGTGATCCTCATGATATATTAAATACAGCGTATTGCAGAATCTGCTCATTTCTGGCTTACTTGAACACACACGTCACTACGCCACAAATAACGGCGCGCTTGTTCACTTGCACTGAAGTAATAGCGAATATTAGAAAGCATTTGGTGAACAGAAAAGACAGTTATTGTCCAGCATCCTACATGTTCTGTGTGCTGTATTGATCTGTCCATCTAACACACATTTTTGGTAAAAAAAAAAAAAAAAAAAAAAAAAGGCCGTTAAAATCGATTCCCTATTTTCGTTTTCAAAACTTGTGTTGGTTGGTCCGATCGATTGTGCAATCAATTTTCGAACGTAAAGTGACAGCCCTAGTTTGTTTGCTTTTACATTTAGCAATATTTCGAATTCTGACAATCTCTGAATTTAACGGCAATGTTTAACTCAAGTCACCTTTATTTATATCGCGCTTTTTATATATTTATATCGAGTGTTTCAACGGAGCTTTACAGAGATTACAGGAAAATAATGCAACAAAGTTTGTTTCTAGAAGAAAATGGCGTCACAGTTCAGCTTAAGTAAGTTCAGTGATGGTTAATTTTTGTAGTGGTCGGCCGATATTTGCCATGTTTTAAAGTTTTTCTGATTGGCCGATGTGTTGGAAGCGGGACTTTTATTTTGACGGGCGGCGCCTGAGAAGAGAATTGTTGTGATTTGTTGACAAGGTTTGCGGCAGTTCAGTAAATCCAACATGAACGGAGCTACACTGTGTGGTTATTGAGTCCTACACAAACACAACACCGATATATCGGCCAATATTTGGCATTTTTAAAATATCGGCATCGGCAGATACGGTTTTCTGATTGGCCGATGTGTTGGAAGCGGGACTTTTATTTTGACGGGCGGTTCTCAGCGCCTGATCACACAGCGCTCTCTCACATTCTCCGTCTTCATTAGTTTACGATCGCTGTCAGTCATATCTCGTCTAATACTTTGTTAGACAGAACTGTAAACAAAGAAAGTAAATGGTATGCGAAAAAGTAAAGCTTTGCTTTTATATTATTTGTAACAGAAAAGGCAAACAATCAGACTAAAATACTTTCTCATTTACCGTCAACATTCAGCAAATGCGCATCTGCATCATTTAAACAAATCTCTGAATATCTAATAAACATTTAATTTCACAAACCTTGCAGATTTAATCGACTCCAGCTGTGAGATCTTGTGAAGTGTGTGTGTGTGTAGCCGGCATAAACGTGTCACTGAGCGAGTGAATGCGAACAGAAGATCAGCTTCACAGGAGACGCCATCAAACAACTTTAAAATTAGCGTTACCTTGTCTTTATTTGAAAAAATATGATTACCAGTGTATGGAGCTATTAATGTGTCTTTATTACATGCGAGAAAATAAATGATCTGAGAGAAGAAAAAAAGTTTGAGAGAAAAAGTTATCACACTGATAGCAAAAAAAAGCATTTCACAAGAGAAAAAATAATATTTGAGAGAAAAAGTTTTCATATCAATAGCAAAAAATAATATTTGAGACTAAAAAAGTTTTGAGAGAAAGTATTTTCTCATTGAACATAAAAAAAATATAAATTTTAATTTTTTTAAATTATTTCTGAGAAAAAAAATCTCTCTCAAAATACTTTGAAAAAAAAATCTTAAATGTATATTTTTTGCTATCAGTGTGAAAACATTTTCTATTAAAAAAAAAGTGTTTCTCTCAAAACTTTTTTTAGTCTCAAATATTATTTTTTGCTATTGAAATGAAAACTTTTTCTCTCAAATATTCTTTTTTTCTCTCGTGAAATGCTTTTTTGCTATCAGTGTGATAACTTTTTCTCTCAAACTTTTTTTTCTTCTCTCAGATCAATTATTTTCTCACATATAATAAAGACACATTTCTAGCTCCATACAGTGCGCATGAAATTACCAGATTACTGAGTGCCGTTACAGTGTTTACTTCCTTTTTATTCACATATTGACATATTTTTAAACAATTGCTTTATTTGTGGAAAGTACTGTAATAGGATTGCAGATTCAAGAAGTTAAAACATGAGTATAATTTGTTTTCTAATTTATTTCTAATTGATTAAATATTGATTAAAATAAATATTATATATAAAAATATCGGCTTTATACCGGCCATCATGCTCTCTAAGATATCGGCCATCAAAAAAACAATATCGGTCGACCACTACATTTTTGTTGTAAAAAAGTTATTCATTTAGTTCATATATATATATATATATATAGCCGCTCTGGAGAAAACCGTGATGTCATCGTCCAGCTCAGTTCTCATATAATGGTGTCAATGCAGGAGATCAATAATATTGTTGAATATGAAATGATTAATCCTCAGTGTACCTGTTGCAGTCTACATAGAGCGCCACATGTGAAGCGCTGATGGCCACGGAGACCTTGTGCCACTGGTTGTCGGCGAGGGTGTAGGGGAAGATCTCAGTGTACGTCTGCTGGCCTTTGGTCTGGAAATGAAGACGCACTTCACTCTTCTGTCCGCTGCTCTCCAGCTCCAGCAATCTGCACACACACACACACACACACACACACACACACACACACACACACACACACAGAGAGTCAATAGTTGCATCCCACTTTACACTATACTAGGGATGCACCCATATGAAACATTTGGCCGATAACCGATAATTCTTTATATTTGAAAGCCGATAACCGATATGTTGGGGGATAAATCTAAATCCAACATTTTTTTATATAACTTTTGAGAGCCTGATTACAAAAACAAAAGTCACCATTTAAATCCATGTCCCAAACACACAATTATAATGTATCTAGCCGATGTGATAGATTTGTGCTGCACATTTTTGAGGAGATTTCAATCATATTTCAAGCAAATCAAAACCATCATGTTGAACAGTGCGCATCTGAAGCGTCTCAGCTGAAGGACATAATCCACTATTTATCGGCTTTAATATATCAGCCAATTTTTCTTATCGGGCCGATAACGATAACATAAAAAATTTACATATATCGGCCGATACCGATATGTGGCCGATATATCGTGCATCCCTACACTATACACTATGTACTGGTTAGTGTTTGAAGTTTATACGGTTATTTTGTCACTCAGCGTCCACTTAAGTGTCCAATATTCCCCACTCTGTTTTTTGGGGTTAATTAAGTCCATGTTTTTGTAATTTTCAGTGTGAACACATGCACAGAATCAGCATAGAATAGTGCACAAGTAAACAAATTATTACACAGGTAATACCAGTCATGAGGAAGCCAAGAATCACAATCAATGGTTAAATCAAATCTCTAGCTCGAAGTATTAAAGGTCAGTGTGTGAGTTTGTGCTCCAGTCAAGTCAAGTGGTTCATATTTTGATACTATATATCGGTTTATATAGTGGTTTTATATTTAGTTTACACATTTTTGAATGTAATACTGTTTAACCTAGAATGCTTTCTTGTAATTGCGTGCGTTATTCTCGTTTAGAGTCGTGATCGTGCCGGCAGGAAAGTTGCAACTT